CAGATGATTTTTAAGAATAAACAATAACGATTAAAAGCCAGTAAAGAAATTATTAATTATTTTAAAAATGTATAACTCAGCTGTTTGTTGTCTGATCTTTAAAATCTAGGTGTCATTTGATTTTTCATAAAATTACCTAGTTGTTTTTATACTTGTGTTTTTTTTGTAACTCTAGTGGTTTTCATGTAATTTGAGGTCAAGGATTTTAGATGGCCGCCATTTTGAAACGGCTATAGTCAACGAAATGAAATTTTGCTTGTTTGTGTAACACGGCAAAATACACAATTGTGTTAAATTTAAAGTTTGTACCTTGATTCAAACTCGAGTTATAAGGTTATTTATAAAAAACACATACAGACAGACAGACGGAAAACGAGGCTCCGGCGACCCATGTTTATAATGTAAAATATTCATGTATTAACCCAAGGAATAATCCTGTGAATTTTTTCGAGAGAGTTCACAAACACCCTGTATATAATATATAATAATAATACAAATGATTTTTTAAAGTATATTTACTAAGAGTACAAATTATTCAAATCTAAGGAGCGTTAGTTATGAGAGAAACCATAATAGAAAAGTGAGAAAAAAAACTGCCTGCTTTTTATATCCAAAATTCTGCATTTTTATAACACGAGAGCACTGTTACGATTTTCCAAACTGAGTTCAATCGTAACTTCATTTTTTTACTGAATAAGGAGTTATATGTGTTCAAAGGTCTATTTATAGAACAATTAATTTTCTATCGATTAGCCGTAAAGGTTAAAAGGTCTTAAGGTTAAAACACTCTAGCAATAATATATTCTTCACGTAGTGTTATTTATAAAATATTCAGTAATACATTTCTTTCTGTTTTCACACTTTGATTTTCTCGATTGAGTTAATGCATTATGGAGCATAAAAGGTAGCTTTCAACAATAAACATTTTAGCTCAGATAATTTGAATTAATTTTATTAATTATTTATCAATAATAATTTATAAATACATTTATAAATTAACCATAAACTTTTGAGAAATCTAAAAGTCACACCCCTATAAACCATATATTTAATTTTTCGTCATAACGAGAAACCTTGCGCAAAACTATCAACTATTTCATAAATTACCCTTTAAGGTCGTAAATCATTTCTAAAGAGAATTTTCCAGATACCTAATGTAAACAAATACCTCAGCTTTACTTATTTCTTTGTTATTCTTTCAATTTATTACCTTATTAAAATCAGGTGTGATTATTTGTTTTTAATACTGTATTCTATTTTGTTTATTTCTGCTTAACTTAGCCAATCAATAGTCTTATTAATACTTATGAAGTCAAACTGGGTGAAGCCCGTGGGTAACAGCTAGTTTTAAGCAATTCTAATTACTCCATACTATCCATACAATAGTTATTTGTGTAACTAGTGAGCAAAGTGGCAATTTGCTGCACAAGAGAGCAAAGTTTACGTTTTGGAATGATCTCGAGTGCAGCAAAGGCCTTTTGCACTCGTGTTACACATTATATTTTTCCTACAGTCACTACAAAGCATATAAATAATTAGTCTTTCAAACACTATACAACACTTTTTTAGGTTCAGCTGGCAACACAAATAGGTGCCCTATAGAAAGTAGTCCTCGGTCCGTATCACTCCGCTACATTTTCCTCGGCAAGCAATGTGCTCCGCGACTTGAGAAAATAGTTCCGTATATTTTTGTAATTTGCAGTGGTTTCCGCGCTTAAAAAAAATGCTTTAAAAGTATTTTCTTTTTTATTAAGATCGTAGGAATGTTTTAAAAACGTTTAAAAGAAAAGTCCAGAAAGTTCAGAAATACCAAAAAGAGAACATAAACTATAAACACGAAATGACAGGTTAAATCGTAGTTATAATAGTCAACCAGCTGCTCATAGTATTATTATCTTTAAGTGTTGCCAACCTATTTCCATGCTTACACGGATTACGTGCATAATAGAACCACGCTTTTTTGTGATGTTTCGTTGGAATCCTGATGTGCGCCAAAGTATAAACCGTACGACAAAGTATGAATATGCAGCAATTAGCAGCTTTCTGTACTATAATCAGTACAAGGAAGCCAACTTTGTCAGGTGACTGTAGGGAAAAATATTCTTTTATCATATTCTGAAAATTTCCACAACTTTTTGTTTGAATTTTAAACTCAACAAATCCTTAATTTGTTTGTACAACAATTATTATTCTATTTATTTGTATCTATGTGTTAAACGATCAATTATCCTATCAACGTGGTTTGGTATTTTACGTCCTACGTTAAATATAACTTATGTTTGAAAAATGAATTAGTTTAATAACGAGTATTCAACTTTCAAAATACCGTGTATAATAGTGAAATATCTTCTTAAACTATAGTACGTACTTCACGTGGGAAAACAAATAAACTAATCCTGCCACAGTTATCGAAGCATATTCATCAATTTTTGTATTACAGATTGACAAAATCGATTAGATCTCTGTCTATAGTGGCAAGATGTTGAAAATAACTTACATGTAATAAGAATAAATAGATTGGACCTAAAGGTATAGTTCTCCTGAATTTAATCGAACTGTGGTAAAGTTATTATTCCACCATAACCCCTTGAACCACAAACCTCCAACCCCAAATCTGACTGCTGTTGACATTTCAATAATTAATTATTTTGGTTAACATAATACTCAATCCGTCAATTACATACTTGTAATAACTGTAAATAAAATAATGCAGCATTTTTAAACATAAATATGCCATCTTAGCCTAAACCGATCTGTTATTTGATAAATGTATACTTTTAGGAATTACACGAAAATAGTATGAGGTGCATTTATATTTCGGGTGTAATTATAGAAACTCTTACTTGTATACTTATGTTGATCCCACTAGTAGCTTTCCAGCCGTGGTCGTCAAAGTTGTTTAATTTTCAGGTAGGGCCTATCTTCTCTTAATCCTCCAAAAATTCTTCCGACTTGTAGTAGGCCTCTTCTATTAAATAATTTTTGAGTTTTTTCTTGAACAAATTTTTGTCTTGGCAGCTTCTTATTTCTTCTGGCAATTTATTAAATATCTTACTTGCAGTATGATGTGGTCCAGCTGTTACCAATGATGTTCGGTGACAATTCAGGTGTATATGGTTGTGTTGCCTGGTGTTGTAATTATGTATTTCGTGGTTGCGTTTGAAGACTTCCGGAAATTTCCATATCATCATAGCTGATTCCAATATATAAACGGAGGTAAGGGTGGGAACTTTAAGATTAATAAAAAGTGGTCTGCAATGATCTAAAAAATGGGTTTTACAAATTATTCTAATAATTCTCTTCTGTAGTAGAAATACTCTGTTTGCTTCACTGCTGTTGCCCCAAAGTACGATGCCATAACTCAATCTCAATTCAGTAAAACTGAATCCAAATTACAAATAGGTAATGTGCACAGTAGTCTGTTAGTTCATAAGCTTAGGTAAAATAAAAAATTCAGCGTATATCTTTGTCAAATCGATTTAATATTATTATTATATAGATTTATTAGGTCGCTCAAAATGAATTCACTCTATTTATAATAAGCTTATAACAAGCGACATAATCCGATGTATGCGGTATAAATATATGTTCCCTACGGCCTTATCTACTACACCTTTGCCATGTATTTTTACAAAAATGGCGCAAATATCCAGAAGTGCCGTGGGCTTGTTTGTATGTTGACGATAAGCTTTGTCTGAGCATCACAGCTTATATCAAGTGTTTATCGAATGGTTTCCATGGTAACAATAAACAAAAATACTGACATTTTTAATGATTCACAACGGTTTTCAATTCTGCAAAACGTGTTCCTGTTATTTCATTTTTTAGGTGTTCCCTTCCAGGTTCCTTAACAATTACTTGTGGTCAAAATACTTTATTGGCACCGTAATCCTTGGGTTTTGCTGAATTTACCATTGGCTGGTTTCTTTTATACAATGCAGTTATTGCCCTGGCGAAAAGGCAAACAAAACCCCTTTTAACGTATAAGCAGTATGATGAACATGCCTTATTTAATATTGTATATATAAGATTTTTTTTTTAATTTTATGCACGCACAGATTTGCCACAAAGCATCGCAAGCACGTAAGCAAAGCATTTATCTGACGTATAATTCGAGTTATGCCAAACGCAACTTCCTCCCTGTAAAGGGAGTTAAATTTGGTTTTTATTTTCCGAGTTTGTTTGGCTCTTCTACAAGACCAATTATCATCATGTTTGTCTTAAATTAAAGGTATACACGCACGGACTTTCCAAAAGTATCATAATTTATTTATCTACTATATTAATCGACCAATAAAAATAAATTAGATTTTTTTATTTCTTTCATCAAAGATGTATTTTACCAGTTCTAATTACATTGTCCTATATGTTTTGGTCAAAGAACCTTCAGTGTAATACCAGGTTTCATTTGAACCATAGATTATTAAGATCGGACGTACCTACGCAGCAGAATCATGAACCAACCTCTAATTATAATTATTCTTGAACTTATCTGCAATCAATGATACGTAGCTCGTTTTTTTAGTTACTTTATACAACTTGTCTTAAAATGCTCCAACTAATAAAGGCTTTAATCTGAAATATTGATGGTTTGAATCAGTTAAGTTCAAGATAGAGTATTACCTCTAAACATTCCATCCCCATGTTAAAGTTGTCGCCAGGTTTTTGATCAAATTTGTCTTAGTTGATGTGAGCCACCTACAGATTGCACTTATATAAATTACTGATTTCTGCCGACTACACTATGAATTTTACCAATTCAAACTGATGGAATGACTTATTATGAACTATAGCAACTGTTATGACCCAGTATTACTCAATAAAAACATAAATTTTATTATTTCTCAGACATGGAATTTAATTTGACATTTACTTGATTCTAATTATGTCATCCTTTATGTTTTAATCTAAGAACCTTCAGTAGCGTGCCCCTGTCATCAACATCATAATAGGCTACTTATGTGAGTATAAAACTATAATATTTTCAACTATGTTTGCAGAGTGTGGTGTTCCACGTAGCGCAACACCCAGAATACCCAGAATTCTTCCAGTGTGTTTCCTTCGACTACTTCTCTACAGAGTTTAGTGAGAAGGCTTACAACTTCTTCTGTCTAGGAGTTATGTACTTTCTTCCACTTGTCGTCATAATGTTCGCTTACACGTGTATTCTGTTCAAGATACTATCAAAGACCAGACAAAATCAAGGTTTGTATTCAGGCATTTATACCATGCTAGAGTATGTGTTGTGAAAAATACCCAGGTTGGGTCCCAGGTCATCCCAACACAGACCAGCCTAGTTCGGGGAACAAGCTTAATAAGAAGTTGTTTTTAATCACTTAATGTAATGTTACCATATCCTTGAGCTATTTCAGCAGCATTGCATTGTTTAAGATATTATGAATGACTTCAATTGTTATCGAAGTTAACTTGCAATATATCGTTTGGTATTATCTATTATCTAGCTATTTTTACAAATATAACCGTCCAACCACATTTTGGTTTGTACCCTCTCTGTTTGGTAAGGGTTTAAGTGTACATTCTTCTATCTTCTTCTATCTCCTTCATACTCCACATGTCAGTTCACTCGTAATCTTTCTTTAAAAATTTTCTTCGTCCTTCCTTCCCTTTCACATTTTTATACTTCCAAATCTAGTAGTAGACTATTACATTTTTTTTTACAGCTGACATGCAGCGTCCCGAAGAGAACAGTGCTGGACCCAGGACGAGGATGAGACTTAGGAGGAACGATACTTCTGTCATAGAGAGAGCGAGAGCCAAGACTATCCGAATGTCCGTTACCATAGTGGCTGCTTTTGTGGCTTGCTGGACACCTTATGTCGTCATGACAATGTGGTTAGTTTTATAACTTGGATTTTGTGAAACTTTGGTTCCCAAGCGATTGTATCCTAAAATCTATAAAGTATACATAAGCATAGTAAGTTTTTTGCTTAGGGATATACCTATTTCAATAAACATTTGCCCTACCACTATTTCTTTCGCTTCAATGGTCAATTTGGAAGTAAAAGCTAGAATATGCTGGGTCATTACATGGAATATATCTTTTTCTAACGAAATTTCAACCTTGGTCTTCGAGACTTTGTATTAATACGTATAAAAGTATAAGTAAGGCATACGTAATCGTTGGGACTAAAATCTACAAGCCCCAAAAGATCCCAGCAGCACGTTATACAATGGAGAATTATAGATTGTTTAAATACTATATATATTTACATCAATAATCACATATTTTCATCATTTAGCCTGAATGTAACAATTTGACTGATTGTGATACAATTGTAATATCTGTTTGGAAATTTAAATGTGGTAAAATAAAAAAGGTAATTTTAACCATATTTAACACTTGGGGATTAAGCTGCACCACAAAGGAGGTTTTTTAAATATGAGATATTGCTGAGGCTAAATAGCTAAACTGAACATTCACCTTACAACATGGTTGCTCTTAGGAAAAGGAAACCTATCCTATTATGAATAACATTTCAGCTAGTAGTTGTTCTATATATGATATCCCAAATCTCAAATGATGTTTATACAATTAATTTAGAGGTGTTTTCTCATTCTAGGTACACTATAGACCGCAAGTCAGCAGAGAACGTCGACTCTAGAGTACAGGATGCATTGTTTGTCATGGCAGTAGCCAACTCCTGTGTCAACCCCCTGGTTTATGGGTCTTACGCTTTTGGCATTTCATGGTGTTCATGTGCCGGGTCAAGCAATAGACAACAGACAGGTCGGTACATACGAATTAAAAAATTAAAGCTATCGTCGTATCCGATTTGTCTACACTGTGCATATTTTTCCTTATCTGTGTGCTTCTAGTGAGTTAGAGGAGTTATTGTCAAATTGGAAAATGTAAAGTATGAAAATCATGATGTCTAAAGAGCTGTTTCACAGCCGTGTAGGTTGAAGGTGGTGGTTTTTCACTATTATTACCTCTACATGCTTTTAACTATCAACTATCATTGAAACTGTTGAAGGTATTCTAATATTATAAATTATTAACATGGTAAATAGGTTATAGATATCAATAAAACCTAATTTTATTTCTATGAAAAACAACATTTTACTGTGGCAGTGGATGATAACAATACTTTATGGTTTAAAAATTGTATTACAAAACTAGTAGTTTGATTTACTCCGATCGTTCGAGGTACCTGAAACTAAATAATGCGATCAGTGTTATAGAGGAAAGGAGAACTACATATTACCAAAAACTCTTAAAAAAACTAAGACCTGTTTTACAATAGGTTCAAATATATCTTTTAAATACCATATAAGCATGTATCTAGTACTTTCAATAATTTTGATTTAACATCAAATGTCTTTTTTGCACTTAAAACATTTTTACTTGCATAGATTTTCATCATTTTTTAATGCATGTCAAATGACGAAATTGCTTGCACTTAATATAATGAGTTTCAGCTTTAAAAATTAGCTTATTATGTAGTTTTCCTTTTTCAAATGTGAACAACTGTGAATGCAGTTTACGAATTCCTTTTCACTTGTCAAATGCTTTGAACTTGATAAAAATGTTCTTTAGTTGAAAAGTGCAAGATGTTATGGAAAGTATTTAATAATATGTGTGGTGACCTTCAAACATTAATCTTTAGCATGTAGCATTGAATTTTATGTGTGGAATATTTTTTGTAACATACTGGAAAGCATATAAAGTTGTATTTTAGATTACATAAAAACGAAAAAAATTCCATGAATAAAAAATGTGTACAGGGGACGTAAAAGATCATTAATATATTCACACAACTAAACTGACACTGTAAAACAATAAAAGAGCGACGGATTCATTGTTACAGAGGTCCCAGGTCTTCCCAACACAGACCAGCCTAGTCCGGGGAACAAGCTTAATGTTAACTATAGCGCATTAAACAGAACGAGTAGAGGTGAGTGACATCACCACCAGTAGACTTGTAGATCAGTGATTCCCGCCAAATTGTCTTAGTTCCGCGCAAAAACGCCGTCCTAAAAGGTCACATATTGGCACAAAAAATCTCAACTGTAGGTTTGTAGTTCTCGGCAAAAGTATATAATTTACGCCAGAAAAACGTCATTAATTAAAAAGACTGCTTGGAAGTAAAATAGTTTTTACTTTGAGTATGCACGTAAATTAAATAAATAAAAAAATATATATAATTATAAGAAATAATAATTATTATTGCAGAAATCATATTTCTGCGTAAAAAAATGTTCTTAAACGATTGCCTTAGGGATAATAAACAAATATTGTGGTAGATCTGTAAAGTTCAGTTTCTGGGGGAAAATCCAATAATTATTATTGCACATCTCAGAGAGCATTAAATCATCACTAAATATTTCCTCAATTTCTTTAAAAAGATCTCTATTTCAAACACGTTTGATGGGAATAACCATAAAAAATGTATTTGTACAGCTTTTTTCCCTTGACAACCCTTCTTACGTACAAGGAACTGCAGTGAAAGACTTCTCGGAGATGTACTTTTATAATTAAATAACAAAATATATCGATCCGATCAAAACAGCCATGGAACATATAAATGTTCCTTAAATCCATTTATAACGGATCCCTGGTTATGCATGTTGATTTGCATGAGTAGAATATGCACTATGCGAGGATCCTATGATGCATGGTTGTATGAATAGTGAGATAGGTACCAATGTTACATGTTTTGATCAATACAATATTTTGTAGGTAACATGTGCTAGCTTTCGACAGATATTGGATGTGGGGCTGTGTAATGTAATTTCAGTTATTTATCATGGTATATTGGGATGTGTATAATCTATTCTAAAAATATCTGTTTTACTACCTCAAGTCACTTGCTAATAAATCACATAGACGTTGAATTCTTTAAAAACTTAAATCAGTTTGCAATTATTACTAATAACTATTTCTATGCCACCGTTATTTAGTATGGATCATTTGAAGTCCCCTGTAATATAAACTAAAGGTTGAAAATATTTTCTGTAATACTAAAACTAATACAATATTCGCTGTAACATGTTCTTTTGTTAAACAATTGACTTATACTATTCTTTTGTCTTAAGGAAATTAATTTGTATATTTCTATTGTATTTGTCATGTCTGTATTTTGATATTTTTAACATTTGGCACCAAAACCCGACTTAAAACCATATCCAACATATGTCCATACGAAAATCCTTCAAATAGGTATACCCACAGAAAATGTTTATATGACAACGAATGATCTAGGCTGAAGGTAATTTATACAAATGTAATACCGCTATTTTCCAAAGACTAACAAAACAAATGTACTGTATCAACTCAAAGACTGATAATACGGATTGAGGTCAAAAAATGAATTACTTGGAGAATTGAATAAACTAGAGAAGATAACTGCAGAGTCTGAAGGTCTTTAAAGAAACATAAGTGAGCGTCAAAGACAACAAAGGTAGATAAGGCGTTAAAGAGAGAAGATGGGACGTCAGAGATAAGAATAGGAATTGGAGAGGTGAAGGAACTATAACGACAAAATAGAATTCTACAGGCTAAGGTTAAACTTCAGTCAACGTCAGTTTCTGGTATTCCAGATCTAAGGAGGGGTAAGAGTCTCACTTGTCTCATCTGCAAAGTCGGAAGATGGCTGTATGAAAAGAACCGTCAGTTATAATGTGCTCGTCAGCCATAGTGTCAACGGCTGTGTGAAACTAGCCAATTCCTTAAGACACGCTGAACAGCCTATTTTTAGCCATCAACAGCTCCCAAACTTCTGTGGTAAACGATTCAACCTGACGAATAGCCGACGTTTTACTCGGGATACACAAAACTGTTCATCTTAGGACAACCTTGCTAGGATAAGAGATCTTCCTGAGATAAATTACTTCACTATTTGTTTCAAGTAAAAACTTGAGTTTAAAGTTCTATTTTTTTGACATGAGTTAATTATTGAGTTCTTGATGAAAAAACGTAGGGTATGCGCCTCCCTGTTAAAGAGGATGACACAGCCAGTTTCAGTAATCATTCAACCAATATTGTAAATTAAATCACGACCACAGAATCTATGTAGCCTACTTATAGAATTTCCTTCTCATTTTGATTATGTATATGCTAAAACCGTTATCCTAAATCCTAAACTGTAAATAATGAATTAAAAATGTATATAAATGAATGAGCACAGTTCAGTCAAGAACCTGTAACAAATCGAATGAAATATTATTTCGATTTTTATATAGTTTTCACTAAATATAAATATAGATTGTATTTTTTCAAGAAGACTTTTTTACATGCGCTGCGACGGTGAAGTTAATTTACTTCAGTTTGGCTTGGTTTAGTTTATGATGATTACAACCAGAGTTGATATTTGTTTAGTTTGTTGCATGTTCTTTTAATCAATTTTATTAATTTATATTATGTTGGCATCTTTATAAAATGAAATGGTCTACTGTTATATTGCATTTATCTTGACCACGTTAAAACTTTTTTAACATTTCCTCTTCATTTAATTCAATATTTTAAAAGTCTAAATATTTAACATACTTTAAAAATGTGAGATTCAATAATTGAGAACCTATGTAATTGAAAACTTTTTGAATATTGTTTAGATATTTGATAGCTTACGAGAAATTCTTTTCAGCCTCTCCAGTTGTGACCAATCCAGCAATACAGAACCAAAGCCGCACTCTTAGCACGAGGGCTGGGGTGAGTAAATGATTAGTTCTGAGTGCATTTCATTTAAATACAATCATTTTCAAGGATAATTGTATTACTTTGTAGTGCTGTTTATACGAAAAATTTATATTCTATAAGGCAATATTTGTTTACAATTGATATTAAAATATCGTATTGAATTAAAACTCCTTAGAATATAGTTCAGTGTTATATTTTCCCAGAAACATTAGGTTATATTACCCAACTACAGCACACGAAGGCGTGACTTAACTATTTAAAGTGCTAAACAGACTTTTTCTTGTTGGATGAGGGAAATAACTGGAGGCTGATTGATAATATTTGGTCCTTTATTCGAGTGCAAATTTATTGTTGGTTACCGTTGTTTAAAAAACATTAAGTTTGATTTTGCCTAACCCTTTCAGAAAAGTGTAAAGAAAAATGATTGAACACGCCTTTTGCCTTTTCTTTCCTATTAAACATTCATGTACATATGAAAATTCAGTAGAATAAGAAGATTTGAATGTAGTCTTTGTCTCCAACTATTCTTTTCCACTTATATTTTTGTCAAATGCATAATTCAAGTACAGCATGTATAATACTCCCATGGATATTGGTTGAGAGAAAGATTCTTGCTTAAGTATGCTCTGCGATCTATACTTCAGAATAAACCTTACAGTTTTCAAATGCAATTACTTTTTTGAGATTTTTAATTTCAATCAACACAGGGGGTCTTAAAATAATTCTAATCTATCAGTTTTACCCCAGCTAAGGGGGAATCAGTGACAATATTGGAGTAGGTAGTAAATGAAAGAAAAAACTAAATGAATTAGAAATGAGTAAATGTGTTAAGAATTGAGTAAATAAGTTCCTTGTTTAGTGAGCAAAGTGAGATCCACACTGGTAAAGTAGTTAATAAGAACGTTTTTTGCTGACACCAGTATTTATGTAAGTAAAAATAATCACTCTTTGCTGCAGGATTGGTCTAGGAGGCCAGCAGTATCAGAGTTTCACCTAGACAGACTAGGAATGAGAGAATGGACGCCCAAGTACCACAGCGATCCCGGTAGAGAGGCTCCTAGCTCCTCCCAGTGTACTTCCTTCTAAACCAAGGACAAACTTAGAAAGTTACATTCAATCACTAACTAGACAAATTTACCAAATCCAGTCATGCCATGATTACGAGTACATTTAAATAAGTAGAACAACTACACCATTAATAATTACATCTTATCATCCCTCATTGCCCATAGTAAAATGCCCCATAAAATAGTATTGCCCATAAAATGGATCAAATCTAATTAAAGAGTTCATTAAAAAAGATCCATAAAATCGTAAAATACGTTGAGAGCTTACCACATACGCGATGTCTTTGGATAAAAAGTCACCACCAGTCTTTAAAAAAAAACTTAACATACTTATGCAAATAAAAATCAACATACTAATCAAACTATTGTTGAAGAAAAAAGTCAGGGAAAATGTCAAATTGTCTTATAAAAAACTGAAGTAAAATAAAAATTATTGAATTATATATACACTACAGTAAATCATTAAACATAACCGATAGTTATTCTCATTCCCAAATATTACTGAGTACTACCATTACATCTCTTACATCTTATAATTTAAAGAGTTAGCCTTTCCCGGAACCCCTTGTTCCATACTGATATAAGGATATTCTATTGTTGTAAAACACACTATTTATCACCGACAGGTGATCTTTTTCTCCTGACGTGACTTTATTTACAACTTTTAATCTTCCGATATACCAACTGCCAAGGAAAGTAAATCCACCAAACTCTCACAGAGAGTGGAATTTTAATAATACTATTGACTCATATAGATATTTTTATTGACTCTTTTTGAAATGAATAAATCATCATAAATAGCTCTCAAACAGTTAAGTTATTGCGATAGTTATGAATGCCTAGATACTTAATATTTTAATACAATCATGAAATGTTTGAAAACCTATTTCCATTAGTTTCAATCCCAATGGAACGGTTAAAATCAGAGTTAAAAATGAACAATTCAGATGGAAAGTGCGTCAAAAAAATTATTGTGGCAAAATGGTGTTATTAGTAACATTTTACGTTCACTGTGTCTTAATTATTGTAAGCTAAGAGCATACATGTTTATAATCTAAATACTTTATGTATTAAGCAATCTGAAAAGTGTGACACTATTTAATGTGGACAGCACAAGTAAAAGTGACCAGTGGACTAATTATATACCGACATCCATGGACCAAACAATATGTCAATAATATAAATTTTAATTGAATCTATTAATGGGAAGAAAATATTTCGACCATCCGTTGTAGTTTTATTTATCAATTGTGTATTCATATTGTTCAACTATCGATGTTATTAGATAGATAAGAGCTTGATATGTCAAGTTTTATTAATGCGTTTCTAGATGGCATTAGATAAGACAAGCGCTTCATTACAGGTTAATCTTTTTGAAGGTAAATGGGACGAATCCCTTGCCAATTTTCAATTACATTCTTTTGAATGTTCTTTCAAATTACAAAACCAAAATCTCAACCTCTCCGAGCATTGAGATTGTCACACGTACCGTCTCGGGTGTGTACGATCCATGTTCGTGTGTGGTTTGTAGATTCGAAATTTGATTGAGCCTGCGCTATGTCCAATACGACTAATCCATCTTTCAGGATTAGAAGTGTGCTCTGTTGTTTCGACTTTATTTTAGTCTCTTCAGTCATGGATAGGTCCGAAGACCACCATGAGACAACAGTAAATGTGATTTGCGTGGAACGTGTTCATTACGAGATTCCAGCATTCACTGGGCAGTACGAGCGTTCGACTCGCTTTTACAAACTCTGTGTGACAGTGGAAGAATTTAGCAATCCACAATGTCAAGAGTGCCCTACTTTTCAAGATTTCACAGAGACTATGTATATTATTAATTATACCTCAATTAAGTTTAAAATGACTTTGATTAGTCATATCGAAATTCAGAAATGTCTACTAGAGACAACTGAAATTGGGTTCCAGATTCCAGGAACCAATCAGCATGCGATGACAGATTTCAGTCATCCAAAGGCACTGGACGTGAAAACAAATAAACATCAAAACTGATGAGTCCGTCCACAATAATTTAAGAACAATGAGTAGATAAATTATGTTATTTCAAATGCTTGAAGGAATCATATAAAATTATGTTTATTATAGTTAAACATTATAAAAAGGTTTGCACGTATCTTTAATTAACTTATGTCTTTCTCAATGTGATTTTAGTTTAGTAAGGCAGTGATAACTGAAGTTGAAATGTCAATAAAAGATATAGATTTGTAAGAACACTATAATATACTCTTAGCTTCATATTTATATAAATAAACGTGCCTTTTATTCGAATTTGAATTGTGGAATGCCACTGGTATAATATTTTAAATGTATAATAATTTTGAATTAGTTATACTTAAGCAACAACAATAGGTCCCTTTTACAGCGTGTATGGAGTTTACTTTCTGTTTTGTATGACATTTTTTAAGATTGTCAATATAAAAAGTATAGTTTAATATTCGTTAGGTAGGCCTAAAACACAGACTAGTAAAAACTATGGTTACTTTTTTAATTTACCATGGTAACTGTAGTTTTACACCTTTGGATCTTATTCATGTAACAATTAATTTCTTTTTATGTTATGAATGGAATATTAGTGATTATTTTATCTTCTTTTAACTTGTACACATTCTCTAGTATAAACTAATGTTCATTGATCATGGGGGAAATCAGTAATTTGTTTTTGAGATTATGGGAATTTTAATACTGTAACATTCACTTGTGTATTTTTACTGAAATTATATTTATCATTTGCTTCCTTTCTTTTATGGATGGAATATTTTGTATTAATTGCAGTCTAGATATTTGCTGTACAAAAATTCTCTAGATTCACGAACCAATTTGAACTTTTATAAGTGTTAACCTGACAATGTGTTATAACAGTGGGAAAATATGTATGGCTGAAAACCTATGATGGTTTTTAACACAATAGGATGCAACAAGCAATTTTTTATCATATATTAATTGAGTTAGCTAAAGATTGGAAAATTATTTTATAATTTACATCGATGACGTAGCCTAGCAACCATAACGTCAAGATCTAATACATTGCATTGCTTGTAACAACGGTTTTGTTTGTTGGTTAGGTAACTGTTTTGCCAACCCAGAGTTTTTGTTCTTGAGATCCTCAAATTTCCTGTTTTTAAATCCCACAATTTAGACAATCTCTTTCATAGTGTAATAGAATAACAGTGTTTAATCACAATTGAAAACTGTTCAAGGGTTCGACTAAGGTTGTATGCATAATCTGCCTCCAGGATTGATGTATTGACATTAAATGAGGTTACTATCCTGTCGTCAATCAATCCTATATTTATCGTGATGACTGTAGTTTCGGGGTTAAAAATTCCATTTTCAAACCTTTCTCTTCAGTCATAAATTTTCAAACATATCTTCCTGCACTTGCCGTTGTCAATAATACATCACTCATAAACACACACGGGAGCATTTTAGATTTACAAAAATCATTTACAAGCTCGTGAGGCCGGCCAAGGACAAAACCAGACTGCCATTAATTGCCAAAAATTTAAACCATGATTTGCACACCATTTTGGCACATTTATGAAAATGTAACAAACTCCTATTATTAATTTCTTCATTGAAGATTTTAATTTTCCTAACAAAAATGTAAACGTACGTTACGATCATCGATCATGGGTACATTTATAATCGATTAAGTCTTGTGAACCAAAAGTAATTTTACAGGTTTGCATAAATTCTACTTGTTTACTTTGTTTTGATACAAAAGGAGGTTTTACTCATCTCGTTTGACTTGAAGCCCATCTTAAATTTACACAGTAACAACTGATATGTCATGTTTTGATACTCTACAATATTTTTCTAGTCATGACACATTGATTTAATAGATCCATATTACAACAAACCTTTTTGTCTTCCATAGTTTTTACACGCACACACACACGTGTAACGTATTTGAATACCTTATCCATTGCTGGATATGCTCTTAGCACAAATGTCTTGAAATTATTTTACCTTGAGAGTTACATCCACAGTTGGAGAAAATTGAGGCACATAAACCACCTAAAATATTAGAACATGGATTTTGATAAACTATTTGTAAATCTATATATTCTTTCTGTATGTAGCAAGGTTAGTATAGTATACAACTTGATTTATTACACTCTCAGGATCATAAAAACTTTCGTCAACAGTCAAAGGCTATTTACTTATTAATGATATTTCTACCTGGTAGTTTGTTTCCATATTTGTAAGTATAAAAAAAAAAAAAACAAGTGGTCGGTCTTCATATTCAAGAAAAAATTTATCCGCCTGCTTCCTCCTTAAATCTCTTACAACATAGCACATATAATTACTAGAAAAACACTATTGAAGTGTTTTAAATCCAACCAGATATCTTAGGATTGAGATCAATAATAAGACCCCACAGTTAATACATCAAGGTATTCAAGCTTATGACACCTAGGTTATTATTATTTATAGGAATTAAACGATTGTAAAATGTAAAACTACTTACATTATAGATAACTTACTCTATGTTTATACAGGGATAAAATTACAGTATGTTTAATGTTTCGCTCAACTTTTGAATAATAAGTGTGACAATGTTAATTAAGCTTAAAAATAAATATATGTCTTTTATGGAATTGGACTTATGTATTATCTTAGCTTCCTAAACATCCTTTGGCAGTAAGCCTATATGCAAGAAAAATGCTTTTTGATCGTGAGGGTTCATGGTGGAGTTTTTCGGTGTCAAACGCGACTTCACTTAGTTAGTCTTGATTGTAGTCACTGTTGCCAGAGGTTTCGCACTTACTGTGAAGTGGTATCCTCAGTGGCTGGGCTAATACTATGAGACAAAGGAGCCTGTAATGTGAAGTGGCATCGTCAGTGGCTAGGCTGAGACTATGAGACTATGGGGCCCTTACTGTGAAGTGGTATCGTCAGTGGCTAGGCTGAGACTATGAGACTATGAGAATATGGAACCCTTACTGTGAAGTGGCATCCTCAGTGGCTAGGCAGAGACAATGAGACTATGGGGCG